GAGGAGGGGCTCGCGATCGGCGACAACTCGCGTGCTAGTTCAAATATTCTGCTGCTGCTGCTGTGTTCTGAGTGGTGGGGCATTTTTTTTCTACTTGGTTCATGTATTAACGCATACGGAGTGCTGACAACAACGATTCGCATCAACAACATCGCATCAACAACATTTCGGGGGTGTGTACCAAAACAAAAGCAACACATTTTTTTCACGGGGGGCGCACGACCCAGCCTACTGCAGGTACTTTCCTCAGCACGGGTTATGCTGTTGTGATGGTGCGCGCGGAAAAAACTCCCCCCACTCGGGGTCTAGTATATATATACTTCCTTTTTTTTTTTTTTGGAAACGGTGAGACCGCTCCCCAGTGGACCACTCCCCCCGTGTGCCCGCGCATCAGCCGCATGTATATATACTCCGCACACATACAGTACTGGGCCCTCAATAGTGCCGGGTAGTGTCCCGAGAAAATAGCGGCACTATACCGGGCACCGGCAGTATTCAGAACAGTGGCTCAGTAGTGCCGGTCCGGCACTACTGAGGGATATTCGAAGCCTCAGTAGTGCCGGTCCGGCACTACTGAGGAGGTGTTGATTTCATGATGCAGCGCTCAAGCTTTGCGGGACCAACAGAGAACGATGTGGATCGTGGATCGAATATGTATGCATATGTGTTTTATTAGTGAACGTCTAGGTCCTCGTTGCCCTCCTTCGATGTTGCCAGAAAAAAAAAGACAACAGAGAACCACGACAGGGAGCGCGCCGCACGAAAATAAACGATCATATGTATCACACCTCTAATTTACCACAGCTGTTCTCCCCGCCCTCGCAACGTATGATAGCAGCAATTCTGTAACGTCTGCCTGGCGCCCTTGGATGTCGCAAGAAAGAATCAAAACAACCCCAAGAACACAAGCACGACAGGAAGCGCACCGCACGGAAAATAAATGACCATTACATAAGTACTGTACTCTACCACAGCTGTTCTCCCCGCCCTCGCAACGTAGCAGCAATTCTGTAATGTCTGCCTGGCGCACCCCCTTGGATGTGACAAGAAAAAACGGTGACAAAGAAAAACACGACAGGAAGCGCACCGGAAGAAAAGCAAACAACCATTGCAACATTGCAACACCAGCTGCCCTTCAACCTTACTCTGTACCAGCAACAAACTCTCTCATGTCTGCCTGGCGCACCCGCCTAGCGGAATGCGCTGCAATCATCGCCATCTTCGCTTTCGTTAGGAAGAACGCCGCGTCTGCGTTGCCACTCTCATCTGCTGCCGCTTCCAGGACGCTGAAGTGAGGCGACAGCTCAGTATAATCGGGTGGAGCACGGCGCTCGGGCCCCGAGTTGTCATCGTCACTGCCCTCCACTTCGTCCTCCTCATCACCGCCGGTAGTCACTTGCATTCCAGCCAGCAGTTCCGCCATTTCGTCCGCTGCGTCCAGTCGAAGAGCCTCCGTCACCTCCTCGTCGTCCTCGATGGTAGCCCACCCCCGAATCGCGCTCACCGCTTCTTCCTCGACCGGCTTTCCGGGTTCGATGTCGAGTTCTGCGAAGAGCTCGCTGATTTCCTCGTCTACGATGCCGGCTCCTTGCTTTTGCGCTTCGCCGACGCTCGTGCTCAACTTGTTGACGGTCTCCGTGAGAGCCTTCAGGTCAGGCTCGGCGATGCTGAACCGGGTCTTTCCGTGTTGTGTGGTGAGCTCAGCCGCCATCTCTGACGGAAGCGTGTCGGCCTTGACAAAGCACCTGTGCCAGGTAGCAGAAAATGCAATGCATCCGTTTTGGGGCGGACAAGCGATGTTGGACGGGAGTGACGAAGAATTACTCATGGGGATGCGATAGAGGACCATTTAGTAGAAAGAAAAATGGGCATATCCGGATGCTGCAATACGCAGTCAAAAAAAAAGGAAGAAACCTATGCCACACTGTCCGTACAGCTGTCCCCGCCTGTCCCCACGTATCGCACCACCAAAGCCACGCGCACTTGAGGGAGCTGAAAAAAAAAACAAGCGATACCACACGTTCAAACCTCACCTGGCGATATCCTGGGCGGTGATGCTGGCCCATGCTTTCTTGAGAAGTTCTGCGGCGTCCCGCAGATGAGGTTGGTGCCCTTGCGCCAGCCCCATTGTCCCGGCCTTCATCTTGCGGGCTTTCGCCTGGGCGCGAAGTGTGTCAGCCACCAACATAGTTGATGTCTTCACGTCGAGCAACTCCTTCCTGAAGACCACTTTCGTCTTGGCAATGATCCCCAGATCCATGGGCTGGTGTACGGAGGTGCACTTCGGAGGGTAGAACTTGACGGTCACTTGCCCCCGGTCATCCACGAGATCACCGTGAGAGGCACAGCCGTCCATCAGCAGCAGCACAGGTTCGTGAGTGAAGCGCCGAACGAACGGGAGGAAGACTTGAAGCCACCACTTGAGGAACGTCGCAGAGTCGGACCACGCGTTGGTTTGCGAGTAGTACTTGAGAGGTGAAGGCGCGCTCTTGAAGCAGCGGGGTTCCTTTGCCCTCCCGATGATGGCCATGTCAACCTTCGCAGTGCCGTCGGCGTTGCAGCACATGAAGGCAGACAGTCGGTCCTTGAAGTACATGCTCTTTGAACCCCGCGCCGTCTTCCGATCCTCCGAGGTGGAAAGGTACGTGCGCCTGGGCAGGAGCTTCCACTGGAGGCCTGTCTCGTCGACGTTGAAGATGAACCTAGCCGGGTACTTCGCGCAAAGGGCCCTGACTTCGTCCATGCCCTCCTTGATAGCCGCCATGTTGACGCTACCAGCCTCGCCATGAAGTCGCACGCTGTGGATGTTGTTGCGCTTCACGAAGTTCTTTGCCCACTTCTCGCCGGCCCTGAAGTCCTCGACCTTCGCCCTCACTGCTGCAGAAGTTGCGGTGTCAGCCAGCAGGGTTGTCCTGGCGGAACGGCCGAAGCTTCGAAGGACGTCGCGTGTGACGGGCATCTTGGCCTTCCATGAACTGGGACCCCGTGAGGGGGCAGCATGGGGGAGGCTGTGTGTGTGTGTCCTACAGCAGGTATTCAACCGGCACTATTGCGGGCTGACGTGGCGCCCAACCGGCACTATAACGGGCCATCCCTCAGTAGTGCCGGACCGGCACTATTGAGGGCGCCGTCTGTGTCGAGAGATTTTACAGGCACTATACCGGGCACCGGCACTATTCAACCGGCACTATAGAGGGCCCAGTACTGTATATGCATACCAAACTGAAAATACGTTTGTTCACTGATGGAGATTGCATGTCCTACAACTAAGAACAGGGTGCGACACACAAAACGCCCGACTAACCAACAGTACCCAAAACCTTCGTCTGCACCTTCCCAACATAACATACATGAATGAGACACACAAGACAGCTACCAAACTGATTTGTTGAGCCTGTTATCCGCAGGGGAGATGTCCCTATATGCTGTCTGGGAAATCGTAGACATATAGGTAGTTTTTTCTGACGCTATGATTCCATTGTCAATCTATCTCTGACTGATAACAATGATAGAGATTCACTCGTTGTGTTGTATTAAGAAAAATAACAAATGATGGAAAAAATGGTAAGTGGTATCGCACCGACCGTTCGAGAAAAGAGCCCTCGAAAACCGATCAAAATAAAACAAAAACAAAAATAAAGGAGGACTCTTCCCACACCCGCCCGAAGAAAAAATCAAAGGGTAACGTACCAGCACCAGGCACCACGCACCAGGGCATGGGAGTAACGGAGCAAACAGGACAAAGAGGTGGCAGATGGGCAGACAGCCAGACGTACAAAAACAAAGGCAACAGCAAACGAAGCGAGATCAAGGTACCCAACACAGCAGAGTAGGCTGGGAGGTCATGAAAGAAAGCAACACAGCACAGAGACCGAAGGCAATACAAAGGACATACATGACCTCCTTGCCTACTCTGCTGTGTTGGGTAACTTGATCTCGCTTTGCTGTTTCCTTTATTTTTGTACGTCTGGCTGTCTGCCCATCTGCCGCCTCTTTGCCCTGTTTGCTCCGTTACTCCCATGCCCTGGTGCGCGGTGCCTGGTGCTGGTACGTTACCCTTTGATTTTTCTTTCGGCCGGTGTGGGAAGCGTCCTCCTTTATTTTTGTGCTATTTTTGTTTTGTTTTATTTTGATCGGTGTCCGAGGGCTCTTTTCTCGAACGGTCGGTGCGATATCTGTTCTTTTCTTTCGATCATTTTGTTTTCTTTTTCCGAGTGGTTTGTACCCTATTTTTGTTTTTTTTTGTTTTCTCGCGGCGTCGTATGTGCCGGGTTTTGAGACCACGGGCTCCCCAGTTTTTGTGGACTATAGAGCTAATGTGAGAAACAACAACAACAACAACAACCAACATCAAAGAGTATAGCATACAGCAGGGAGGGAAACCGGGCGCAACATCAGCCGGGGGTACATAATTCGCGGCAAGTGCTGCCTCGGCCGCCCTACTCGCTTCTACAGCAGTGCCCGGTCGCCGTTTCTTCCCCCCCTAGCATGCACATGATCTCCGTCTTTGGCTCCGATACCATCAGTCCGAACAGGCCGGCCATGTTGGTAAACTCGTGGCTTCTGGGGAAAAGATCTTTTATTTTTGAGACCTTGGACCAGGAGAACAGGTCACAAGGTGAAGGGAGCAAGGGTGGTGAGCACCACAGCACCGCAGCACCGCAGCCACCACCCGTGTCGCTCGACCAACGCACAAAAGCAAAACACAATGATATCGGAACACAAAGACTCAACAGACAGGGGCTAACGTACTTCACAACGTACCATGAATCCTCTGACTGATGCACTATCCACAAGAAACACACTCACTCGGGGTAGTGCACCATCCACGAAGAACATTCCCACAGAACGTTCCGTGCTGTTCTGATAATGTGTGGCTACTCAACGATCTTCAACGCAGACAGTCCCGCAATGCAAACTGTCCGATCAAGTTGTTTTACGTCACTCTGTCGACACACACAGCAGCAACTATCACGAACAGGCCACGCGCACGATGACCGACATCATCTTCTCGAGACTCTCCGGCGAGCGCGAGACGATGGCCGCGTCGTCAGCGTAGAGCATGGCCCACAGGGCCTCCGCGTCCGTCACCACCGTCGTCTTCTTCCCCGCCGACCTGCCCTTCTTGCCCGTGTACTCCACTTGTGTCCCGATCTTGACCATGCCCGCCTTCACCTTGGGGTCCTTGTCGAACTCGGCCACGGCGACCATGAATGAGCATTGCGGTACAGAAGAACAAGTTGAACAGCAGCGGGGCCAGGTTGCATCCCTGTCGGAGGCATTGTGTTACGCTTACATTGTTACGGTTGATAGGAGTTGCACCTTTGGGAGGATGCGTTATTCCCAACAGGTACTAGCAGTAAAGTCCGGTTTGCCAGGCCCCGTCTGGAAGCTAGGTTGCTCGGTCCCCTTGCCTTCACTTGACTTGACTTCTCCATACTACTTCTCCTTGCTTGCCCTGAGTTAGCAATAATCAACAAGCGAATACCGTGCGACCGGAGACCTTCCACTCCTTGTCACAAGCCACCTTCGAGGCTCACTTCTACCGCTGTTCCGGCTCATCTACCGAACTCGGTACCGATCGAGAGGCAGCTACCATCAGGTCGGTAGCAGTGCTTGTAGGCTGGGGTCCCATGTACAATCCTCTGTGGACGATTCCTCTTGACACCCAGGGTCCTGTCACTTGAATGATTAGAGACCACACAGACCCACATAGACATCGGGCCAGCCCCTATCCCTAGCCTCTCCATCCGTTTTATGGTGTCCAATCCGAGAATCGAACTCGGGTTCCACGGACCAGAGTTGAAGGGTGTAAGGCTGGCTGAGTTGGACCCTGTGCAGGTAGACCAAGTAGGCAATGCTGACCCCCACACCTCTCACCGCACCCCGGAGGTGGTCGACCTCCACCTGTCCGCCCTTCGAGCGTTGCCTTTCATGGCGTGTGCTGCTGTTGACCGTGAGCCTGATGCCCCCAGCCGCAGCGGCCGGACCCGCACCCCTTCGGTACGATTACGACAGATCGGCATGCCTCCGACAAGTGTACCGGAGGCCCTCCCGGACAGGGAGGTCATCGGCCCCTCCGCGGTGGAACCCTCCGCTCCGGCGCCGTCGCCATTGACACTACCGCCGTCTCCCGTTTGACCTGGCCACGACGACATCGGTGAGGTGCTGGCTGCACGGGGGGAGGTTCCGACGTCGTCGTCGAGCCACGCGTCGGGTGGAGCATCAGCCATCCATCTGACAGCACGAGTACTCACAAGGCCGTCCGAGCTAGCGCATCGGCAACGAGACGACACCCATCTGAGTCAGGTTCGCAAGGTTCTGAGCAATGTATTTGACTCTAGCCAGGGGGGAAGTGAGCGCGACAGGTATAGCCTAGGCGCGGATGATGTGATTCGGTACAACGATGGGAAGGGAAGAAAACTGCCTGCTATTCCAGTCGCCATGGTAGCTGACATCATTGCGTTGGTACACACGCTACATGGTCATGCAGGAGTAGGAGCAACGCTGTCCCTTCTGCGCGATCATTTCCACTGGCTCGCGATAACGAACGACACTCGACACTATGTGTTGTCACGCGCCTGTTGTAGACGCAAGAGACCGCCCCGCAGACGAGTAGCCAGGATGGCAGGTAGACCGCTTGAGCCGTGGGACTGGACATCCTCAAGATCGACACACCATCGCAAGCTGGCAGCAACCACATCTTGCTCGTGGTGGACCGCGCCTCAAAATTTCCCTTCGGGTTCCCGCTCGAAACCAATCAAGCTGTAGGCGTAGCCCGAGTGGTAGTAGAGCTGTGTCTAACTTACGGAGTTCCAAAGACGGTGCGCTGCGACGAACGCCCAGAGTTTGGTGCAGAACTGGTGACGCAATTGTGCAGATGGTTGCGGGCAACCATCGTGTTTGGTGCTGCTGATCACCCTCGAGGCCAAGGATCGGTAGAGAGACTGGGGGGATGGCTACAGGAGTTGTTGGCTGAGCTGTGTAGGCCCTGGCCTGACCGATGGGATGAGTATGTTTCGCCTGCGATGTGGATCAAGCGCACCTTGCCAGACACCTCGCTCCCATCTAATATGACACTCTTCGAGATCCTATTCGGCCGCAAGCCTCGCACGTCGCTGGATTCGTTAGTTCCCCGTACGGACGAGATGGATCAGGAACGAGGAGTCGACAACTTCGTGGAGAGGCGCAAGCAAAATCTCCGTGAAGTAGGACTCGCCCTCGAGAAACGGCAGGAGCTTCGAGTTGCTGCACGCGCGAAAGCCAACGCCTCTATCGAGAGGTCGTCAGCTGGAGTGGGGGTCGTGAAGGACAGCCTGGTGCTCGTGCGCGAGTCCGAGAGTAGCCGACATCGTGATCACAAGGGAAGAAAGCTGCAACACGATCTCTACACAGGACCGTGGAAAGGGACGGGGGTAATCCAGCCCGGTCTCAGTGTAGAAGTCATGATGCATGGTAGAAAGAAGCGTAGCCGAAGGGTAACTACGGCCGACGTGAAACCTTTCCACCTCCGAGAACTTCCTTTCCGACACTCGTTAGCCGAAGAGTTCGCCCAGTATACGTGGGGACCCGATTTCAAATTGCCTCCAGGAGCTCAAGAGAGTTTGGGTCTAGTCACTATCGCCGACTGTCGCAGAGTTCAACCAGCTTCTGGCATGCGAACTGTTTGGGAGTACAAGGGGAAGTCAGGGAACGGTGTAGTGTCGGACTGGCTGTCGGACGAGACCATGTAACGCAGTTTCACACCCCTTCAGTTGGATTACTTCGTTGCGCTCTGGCACTTGTATTTTCCCCAGCTGGCAAACGCTTCTGCACCCGACTCAGTCAAGCTCCGTACCCCGTCGTCCCGCGCCCAAGCCTTGCACGTTTTCCCGATAGGTTTTACCTTCCAGAAGGATTTACCGGAGGAATCCTACTTCAGGGTCAGGTGTATGACTACCTTTCCCACTACTGGCGCGTGCGCTACACTGACGGGAACTGGGAGGAGTTTGTCCAGACGCGAACTGGAACGACCTTCGAGATAGCCTTGGGGGGAGGGATTTCGAGCTAGTGTGATTGCTGGACGATGGGGATGCGTGGGGTTAGTGAGACCGTCTGCGGGTGGTCATGGATGTCCGTGCAAGATTCGGTCGTGTGTATGTACGATGGATAGTTTTTGACTATTGTTGATAAGAGTCTCTTTTGTTCCGGTTTTAAGACTTAAGCATGTCCACTTGATTTTTGTGTATTGTTGATAAGATTCTTTTGTTTCGGTTTTTATGCATGTCAATTTGATTTTTGAGTGCGCCAACCAGTTGAGGTTCGGTAAAGCGTAACGGCTCGGAGACCGTACGTAATAGCCAGATGTCCTGATCTGATTTTCAGTCGAAGGGTGAGTCCTGCGTCCGGTAGCATCCACGAGTGTTTGTTTTGTGTGCTAGTCTGGTTTGCAGTCGAATGGTGGTCCTGTGCCCGGTAGCGCCCAAGAGGGTTTGTGCTGTTGTGCCGTGGTATTTGATTGGGTTTGGTGTTGTAGGTGCTTTGCGCAATGGGCTTTTTTCTGGGTGGCCAGGTTTTTCCCGCGCTGTAGGTGTTGAGAGCCGGACTGTAACTACAATGAATTCACCAAGCGAGGGACGGTTTTTTGTTAAAGTATTTTACGTCCGAGTGTCACTTGGTGTTTTCGGTTGTCAAGTCTAAATTCTGGGGCTCTCGGGATGGGGTGCGAAGGGTTTGTCCCGGAGGCCGGGTTTTCCTTCGCGCAAGTCGATGTCGGGCCGTGGATCAACGCGCAGAGAGAATTATGAAGAGGAGTGGATTTTACTTGGGTTTTGCCACTATTCACCTCTCGTAATTTTCGGTTGAACGTTCAGCCTACTCAAAGACATCGCATGGTAGTATTCCAAAAAGAAGCGTGTCACCTTGCGGTTTACACATTTCCTGCTACCGTATATTAGCATGTGACAGCTGACAAATAGCTGTTCATGCTAATGGGGGGATGTTACGGTTACATTGTTACGGTTGATAGGAGTTGCACCTTTGGGAGGATGCGTTATTCCCAACAGGTACTAGCAGTAAGGTCCGGTTTGCCGGGCCCCGTCTGGAGGCTAGGTTGCTCGGTCCCCTTGCCTTCACTTGACTTGACTTCTCCATACTACTTCTCCTTGCTTGCCCTGAGTTAGCAATAATCAACAAACGAATACCGTATCGACGACCGGAGATCTTCCACTCCTTGTCACAAGCCACCTTCGAGGCCCACTTCTACCGCTGTTCCGGCTCATCTACCGAACTCGGTACCGATCGAGAGGCAGCTACCATCAGGTCGGTAGCAGTGCTTGTAGGCTGGGGTCCCATGTACAATCCTCTGTGGACGATTCCTCTTGACACCCAGGGTCCTGTCACTTGAATGATTAGAGACCACACAGACCCACATAGACATCGGGCCAGCCCCTATCCCTAGCCTCTCCACCCGTTTTAATTGGCCCACGTCGAACCATTCCGAGTACTGCCCGTCGTCCGTTCGGACGCGCGCCCTCATGCCCTCGTGGAAGTGGCGAATGACCGCCAGCATCTTCGGGGGCACGCCGAAGCGTCGGAGCACGTCCCACAATCTGTCTCTTATACACATCTAGATGTNTCGTCGAGTGGCACGCACGTGGGCCACCGCTTGACCTTGTCAGCCGCATGCAGGTCGATGGTCGGCGACTTGGTGTTGAGAAGCTTGTGGAACCACCGTGCCCACCGTTGGCGAATAAACGTGGGGTCCCGAAGGACCTTCCGTCCTCGTCCTTGATGTTTTGAGAGGTGAACGACCTCTTACCGGTGTGTGTGATGACGTCACTGGTCTTGAAGAGAGACGCGGCAGAGATGGCGCGGGTAGCCCGGGTGCCCTAATTGTGTACCATCTGCATCGCGGAAGACCCCTTCAATGTGGACGATTCCTAGTCAGCGTCGATGTTTACACTGCTGTGCCTAACACAGATGATCTGGATAGATTCGGGTGAATGTCAATTGCAATGATGGCTTTGGTTGGGCGTTCTTCTTCATTGTTTGTCCACGGACACATTCTGACAGCACTTCAGACAGCAGTTTCAAGGAGTGAAGCCGTGGGCGGTGGCTTGCTCCTAGAGATAGATGAAGGTTCTGTCGTTGACACGCTTGTCCACGACCACGGTGAGATGGGAAAGTTGCTTGTTATTGCTGAGAGACGATCAGCAAAGGTCTGGGATGAAGTGGGGATCCAACTTCATCTCAGGGGGTACACACAGTAGACAGTTCTAAGGGGGTAGGGGTCAGAAGAGTATACCTCCTGACCGACCCGCATTCTATCAAGAATAAGATGTACCCTATTCATGCTAGCAGCCACACTCCTTAACAGCAGTACGCTGTAGTCGACAAACATTCATTTTGGTTAAGTGCGGGACAAGGGGGGTGATGCTGCTGCTGTAGTCGATTTGTAGTGTGTGGGAGTGTAGTTCAGTTGTGAGCACGCAAACGTGCTCCAGGGATTGCAGGTGTACCTCCTCGGGCTTGCATACCCTTTTTTTGTTGCTAATAGTGTGTGTGTTCTTTAGATCTTGAGTAGAGGCGGGCATTAAAGGCCACTTAAGTCACCCCTTGTGCTAAGAGCTTGTTCTTGAGCAGGAAATCGGATTTCGATGATATTGTGGTGTCGAGCGATAGGTAAGATCACCCCTCGCCTACCTAAACAAAAGAACAAAAATCGTCAACAGCGACGAGGCAGGGCTGTAGCCGTACACCTGAGCTGCAGGCGTCATTTTGAGAGAAAACTAGCCCTAGGGGTATTAACGGCCACTTCCATCATTGGTTGATTTCGTACGTTTGAAAGCGTTTCAAGACCCAAGATTTGGTGGGCATGCGTAAAATACAATAGGAATGAAGAAAAAGTAAGAAAAAACAAAAATGATCCACATCGAGGGATGAAAATGACTTACCCCCGGGTTTTCGACACCATGGGTAGGGATGGGTTTTTCCCTCCGTGACCTGTATTGCGTGCTATGTGCGTTCGAAACGAGGCAAAACAACCAATTTGATGCATAAATGTGTTATTCCAGTCAGTAGACGACTCGAGAAAAAAAATCACGGCAAAATGAGTTGTCTACGTAAAATGGTGCTTGCTCAAATGTGGATACTTTTTCCTGATTTAGCATGCCGCTAACGGTAAGAATTCACGCCGAACACCGCCAAACTGTATCCCCCATTGAGGAATACTCATTCATCCCCACGACATAACCTTTGAAGGGGATCTTTAAACATGAGTGAGAAACATGTTCAAAACAAAACAAAAAAAGCCACCCCGGGGACAGAACCCCCCCCCCCCC